GTGGGATGTCCTTCTATATATGTGTTGCTTTTAATGGTTGATGAATAAGGCTGTTTCAGACAATGGCTTAGTAGAGTGAAGCTAGGCAGAAAGTTCAAACAAAGATACAGAGGGGGTAGATGGAGTCGAAGAGATGCCATGTAGCCGTAGAAGGAGTAACATGCTACCCCAGTAAGCCACAGCCTCGTGGCAATACACAGACTAATAGAAATGGGTTAATTTAATAGTTAGAGCTAGTCAGTAAGAAACCTAAGACCCCGGCCAAACAGTGTTGTAATTAATATAGTTTCTTTGTGATTATTTGGGTTTGGGTGGCCAGGAAATGAAAATGCAGTCTCTGTTTACAGCTGTAGCAATCCCAGATAATAAAATAAACTTCAAACCAAAATTAAACAAAAGAGATAGGAAAGGACACTTTATATTCATCAAAGTAAAAAAAACAAAACAAAAAAAACTACCAAGATGACATCTCAATTCCCAAGATCTCTGTCCCAAACACAAGGCTACACACGTTTGTAAAGGAAACACTAAGTAAGCTTAAATCATACATTGAACTTCAGACATTAATAGTGGGAGACTTCACTACATCACTCTCACCAACAGACAGATCATCCACATAAAAACTAAATAGAAAAATACTAGAGCAAACAGATGTTATGACCCAAATAAATCTTAAGATATTCACAGAATTTTTCACTCAAAAACAAAATAATACACTTCTCAGCACCTCATGGAATGTTCTCCAAATTTGACCACATACTCAGTCACATAAAAAAATCTCAACTGATACAAGAAAATTTGAAATAACCCCCTGCATCCTATCAGACCACCACAGATTAAAAAGAACATCTTTAATGAAGTGACTGAATATAAGATTAGTTAAAAAAAAAACAAACAGCAGCCTTCCTATGGATAAGCAATAAATGAGCTGAGAAAGAAATCAGGGAAACAATACCTTTCATTCACAATAGCCACAAATAATACAAAATATCTTGATGTAATTAACTAAGCAAGTGAGAGACCTGTATGATAAGAACTTCAAATCTTTGAAGAAAGAAATTGGAGAAGATGTCAGAAGATGGAAAGATCACACATGCTCATAGATTAGTATGATTAACATAGTAAAAATGGCCATCTTGCCAAAAGTAATCTACAGATTCAACACAATCCCCATTAAAGTCCCAACACAATTCTTTACACACCTTGAAAGAACAATACTCAACTTCATATGGAAAAGCAAAAAACCCTGGATACCAAAACAATCCTGTAAAATAAAGAAACTTCTGGAGGTATCACCATGCCTGACCTCAAGCTCTACTACAGAACTGTATGGTATTGGCATAAAAACAGACAGGTGGATCAATGGAATTAAACTGAAAGACCAGACGTAAATTTACACACCCATGAACACCTGATTTTTGATAAAGAAGCCAAAATTGTACAATGGAAAAAAGAAAGCATCTTCAACAAGTAGTGCTGATCTAACTGGATGTCAATATGTAGAAGAATGCAAATAGAGCCATATCTATCCCCATGCACAAATCTCAAGTCCAAGTAGATCAAAGACCTCAACATAAATCCAGATACATGAACCAGATAGATGAGAAAGTAAGAAATAACTTTGAACATATTGGCACAGGAGACAACTTTCTGAATAGAACACCAATAACATGGGTACTAAGGTTGACAATTAATAAATGGGACCTCATGAAACTAAAAAGTTTTTCTAAGGCAAAGGATACCATCAATAAGACAATATAGCAGACTACAGAATGAGAAAAGATCTTTGTCAACCCTACATCTGACAGAGGCTTGATCAAATACATTTAGAACTAAAGAAACTAGACATCAAAATACAAAAACAAAAACAAGCAAAAACCCCAAATAACCCAATTTAAAAACAGGGTACAGATCTAAACAGAGAATTCCCAAATGTAGAATCTCAAATGGCTGAAAAAACATTTAAAGAAATGTTCGACATCCTTAGCCATCAGGTAAATGCAAATCAAAATGTCTATGAGATTCCATCTTAAACCCGTCAGAATGGCTTAGATCAAAAACACAAGTGACAGTTCATGCTGGAGAGGATGTGGAGCAAGGGAAACACTCATCCATTGCTAGTGGGAGTGCAAACATGTACAATTACTTTGGAAATGACATCATGAAATTTGCAGGCAAATGGATGGAACTAGAAAAAAAAATCATCCTGAATGAGGTAACCCAGACCCAGAAAGACAACAAGGTATGTACTCATAAGTGGTTATTAGCTGTATAAGTAAAGGACAACCATGCCACAAACCACAGACCCAGAGAGGCTATGTAACAAGGAGGGCTCAAGAGGATATGTGGATCTCCCTGGGAAAGAGAAATAGATTTTATGGGCAACTAGGGGCAGATGGGTATGCAAACATGAGGAATAAGGTTCTGTGGGTGCCATATTTAAGAGGCATTTGCCTGAATGAAAACCACAGCTATTTACCGTTATTTTCTTCGTTTTACATTTCTTGCTTACATTTAAATCTACAATTGTATAGATAGTGACAGATTTTGCCCTCTCAACTGTACTTCATGTTGCAAAGTCTCAAGTTTGTTGATTCTTCTACTAGCTCAAATCTCCTATTAAGCTGCTAGTATTTGGCTCTGAGCCTAAAATTTTCATGGGGTTTTAATAAAGATTATTTACTATCCCTAATGATTGAGGAATTACTAAGCTTTCCTCGATTCTTTGAATCGGCTTCTTTTAGTTTTGAACAATACTGCTCATCACTTAACTGCTACACCTCTCAAAGGCTTCTAGTTTCTCCCTGATCACAATTTTAATTCTGTATTTCTTAATTTTGTATTGAAACTGGACATTTTATGTAATGTTTTGCACCCTCCTTCCTGTCATCTCTCTCTCTCACACATACACCCCTCAGATACTTCATTTTGTAGTGACCTGGCTGGGCTAAATCAGAAGCCTAGTTCTGCCTCAGATGTTATTATTCAAGCACCCGTCGTCTGATTTTTTAAGACTCCCTTTCCCAGGAGTTGTTCTTGGGTCTGCAAGTTTAGTGGTCAACCCTCTGCATCTGTGAGGTGTACTCCCTTTGTGACAAGACCCTTATGTCTTAAAGACAAACAGCTTTCACTGCTGAGAGACTTTATAGATTTGCCTGTGTTCAGCCAGGAACTTGAAACCCAGAATCTCTTTGGTCACTCTTCTGAGGTTATGACTTGCAGCATGTGCGCGGTTAGAAGGGTATTGCTTTTCTCCAGGTACCACTTTCACTGACACTGTCCTTAAATTCCTCGGTGGAACTTCTGGTATGATCCACAACTGTTGTTCTTCCCTAAGCTCTTGCTGATTGCTGTTTTTAGCAATACTCTGAGGTAGGAACTGTTAGTTTTGAATAAAACTATGACCTGTGGTGGGCTTAAGGCATCATTTTGACTGGATTAAATACCCTGAAAACTGTTAAGTGGTTTTTTGTTTTGTTTTAATGTGTAAGGGCTTTTCTCAAAGATGGTAGAGTAGGTGGGCTTCTGTCCTCCGATGACAGAACTAAAGTCCCCTAGTGTAATGATATTTCTTTTGTATTTTAATACATAAAGCTTGCCTGAAGATCAGAGAGTAAAACAGACCCACTGGTCAGGTTTACACACCAGGCTGTGGTGACACATGTTTAATCCTAGTAGCCACACTAGTTTGCCACAGAAACAGCGTGGTAGTGGTGCACACCTTTAATCCTAGCACTAGAGAGTAATATAAGGAAGGAGACGGTTCTCAGACATAGTTTCATTCTGAGATTTCTGGAGGCAGTATGTATCACCATTTCAGACTAAGGTAGAAAGAGCTAGTGGCTGGCTGTTTTGTTTTTCTGACCTTAAGGTTGAATCCCAGTATCTGTCTCTCGGTTTTATTAATCATGCTACACCCTAGCTCTCAGGCTTTTGATCTTGGACTGAAGAATTAAGAGTCACATGTTTGGGAACTTGTTATGAGTCACATTACCAGCATCTTTGAGTCTCTAGTCTGCAGACTATTGATAGGGCTTCTCAGACTCCCTAACTGCAGAAGCCAGCCCCTCCCGCAGAAGTCAACATGTATGCTGCTATCTTGTGTTAGTTCTACCTCTAGAGAACCTAATAGAGACTCCCTGAAATAGGTAATATGCTAGACTTTGAAGCTCACTCTTGCCCTTTTCTGAACAGAATTTTTGCTTATGGAGGTAGAGGTTGGGGAACGAGCTATAGGCAGAGCAATGCTGAGAAAAATGCAGTCAGCGAAGTTTAGTAGCCATTTGGCCACTGAGAAATACTGTATTCCATAGATGAGTTTTTTCTTTAGATGAGTCATGCAGATTACCTTGTGTGCTTTTCAATAAATCAGTTCCCTTACTATTGCTGTTTAGAAATCCAGTTCTCAGTGTACATCTTAACATTTTCAAGATATGAAAGCCAATCATCTGCCATTAATATTTTGCTCTTCTAATATTTTCATTTTGTTCTATTTCTTAAAAAGAAAACATCTCACGTGTATGGACATTTTGCCTGCATGAACATGCATGCAGTGTCCTTGAAGGCTAGAAGAGGCAGTCAGAACCCATGAAACTGGGGTTACAAAAGGTTGTGAGTCAACACTTGGGTGCTGGGCCCTGAAGCTGGGCCCTCTATGAGTACTCTTATCTTAACCACTGAGCCTCTCAAGCCCCTGAAATGTATTTTGAATGTTACAGACTGTCAGGGTAGCCTCTTCTCTCCTATTCCCAGAAAGTAATACATGTTATTTATGGGCCTATCCATAAAAGCGAAGTTCAGCTAAAAGTGTTTCCCAACAGAACCAAGGATAAGTTGCCATAAATGTGACCTTTCTCCAAGTTCATCTATAATTTTGGAAGGAAAAAAGGAAAGTCCCATACTTATTCTGTAGTCTTCACAGACATTAGAGAGAAGGGGAGGCATTTCCTATTGGAATTTCTATTAGGTTTTAGCTCAGTTAAAAACAAAGAACTCTCATGTAAACACAAGCTTAAGTTTAATTGAAGAAAACCTTCAAAACCTTCATTAACAACAAATAAGGAAATTTTAACAATGCTTACCATTCTTTAAACATCATGTACATTATTAATATATACTGTGTATTTCCAATCAATTCCACTCAGGCTCAATTCAAGAAACACAATTATAACAGGTTTTATACAAAAAATACTTCACTAAGAAAGTAGATAAACTGCACAAAAACAGTACAAGTATAATGTGCATAGCAATATAGTTTGAAGCATCTATTTATGGCTTTATTTAAATCAAAACTATTAGGGGAATGGGCCCACTTAGGACCTACTGTTACAGTTGACATATGTAAACTGTTCACATCATTTTTAGGCACTTGCTAACAATAGTGTTTAATCCCTGAAAAAAATAAAACATATGCCCCCAACCAAATAAAAAAAAAGTCAGAAATAAAAAACAAGAAAATAACATGGGTACAATCTTCATTTTAAATCACCCACTTTTACTAATGCATGCACAGAACTGAAAGAAAATAAATTTTTGTGTCATAAACTTTCTGTGCAAATTTACATAATCAAGTACAAAAATATGTACATTTTTGTTATATACAAAAAAGAAGCCCTGAAGTTTTTATCCAATCAATGAAAATGTCATTAATATGTATAGTAACAACAAAACAAAAAAATGACACTGTACGTCGTTTTTAAATAGAACTCCATTATTCAATGAGGCAAAAAATTGATACAAATGTTTATGGTAAAGTTAAATCAATGGATTGTTATAAAATATCCATTTTGAAATTGTTGGGCATGTCTCTTACGAATTGTTCTTAAAGTTTTATGAATTGCTACAGAGTCCGTCATTAATGCTTCTCTATTTTCAAATGCCAACTATTAATACTATTTTGGGTTGTTGGTCATCCTGAAAAATTACTAATGAAAATGGTCTGTCCTAATCTGGACACGTTCAGGTAAAAACAGTAATTAAACACAAGCAAAAATATGATCTGTTTTGTTAACCTTGCTTTAAATTATTGTATCTGTAAAAATAAGTTGTTTGAATTTTCAAGAAAAGCCATTCCCTTTGACGTGTTTCTATGTTTTCTGTTCATTGTGAAAGGATGCCAACCAAATCAGATAAACACAGTTCTGTGCAAGGAAATCATTGGAGAACAGAACCAAATTCAGGAAAATGTTGACTTTCAAGTGGATTTTAGAGAAAGTTCCTTTCTCCTCTGGAGACTGCCTCATTTACTGAAGTGACTGAGATGGTCACAGAATAACAGAATCATCTTGAGGGTATTCCAATCTGACACAGGGCAGAGTAACAGCAACAGTACTTACTTGCCCAAAACACTTCAAGCATTATTTCAAGTTTAACTACAGTCCAGTAAGATGTAGCTTTGAAGGAACATAATACCTTTCAAATGAACTGTAACAGATAGAAAGTAACCTTATCAAGTTTAGGCCATCTTCACAAGTGGTAAGAAACTCATGTGTGAGACGGTTCTTCATCTCCAGAGAAAACTCGTTTGTCAGATCTATAAGGCTGGTTGGAGAAGAAAGCGAATGCGGTTGTTCGCCATTACCCTCTGCTCACTCTCTAAACTCAGCTGGGAAAACTCTTATCAAAACTTTCCTTAGACCTACCTTCCCACAGATGCATCTTTAAACAACTAAAACAAGGCTCATCTGTGCTAATTACTTTCTTTCAAAACATGTGAACTGTGGCATTTTCAAGTACCACACATAAAGCTTTTCTTCTTCCACAGAAATATAACCAACTCTTAAAATGTTCAAAAACTATATTGATGTAGAAAATGCCTGAATTATGGTAATTTAGTCCATTTTTTCCTTCTAAAGTCTCTTTCCTTTGTAATTACAGTAAGTTATTCTAACACATTCCAATCCCGAGTAGCTTCCACTAAATGTCTCTGCCCATGGCCAGCCCACATATCCTGATTGTCAAAAACTCGACCACAGAACCAGCAGTTAAACTTAGTTTTCAAGACATCTTCAGAGGTAGTTTTTACAATCTGGTAATTATTTTTGCTAGTCTTTTTGAGTGTTAGTTTTAGCACAAATCTTTCTTTCACAGAATTAGCAGGTTTAAGCATTTTGTGTCTCTTGGAAAAGTCACTGTAAGTTGTTTCTGAAGTATTACAATGAACTGGCTTCAGTAAAGCATTAATAGTTGTTTGTGACAATGAAACCTTCAGTACACGTCCATTAAACTTTGCAATAGTTTTCATCACTCGTTCTACTTCTGGGGCATCTGCATCAGGATGGTTCAAAACCACAACTGGTTGGTTTCTTCTAGGACATTTCACCAGTTGTTTGGAATTAAAAGGAAAAAGTCTCAAAGTTCTACCTGAATCCTTTGAAAGCCTGGGTCTGCTAAATGCAAAGGTTTCCTGAACATCATCAGCATTAGCCTTTTCTCTACACTTTCTATGTAATGTGGACTTTTTTCTTGGAGGTTCTTGGTAATTATCAATATACTTTCGTTTACAGCTTCTATTTCTAGATACAATTGTGGTTTCAGAATCTTGACTTATACGAGTCTTAATTTTTGCAAATTTATTTTTACAAGTCTTCCTTTTATTGAAATTTCTCTCATTTGTACAATTGGCTTTATACCTTAATACTCTAGTCTCTGAATGCTCACTGATGCATGCTGGTTCCTCAGAAGATTCTGCGCATGCTACAGTAGAAGCATGAACAATTCCATTTGCTGGCATCAAATCATTTACTAAGACTGGTAAGGCATTTCTAGAAGATTCTGGCTCTTTCTGCTCTCCAAGTCCCAGTAGTTTAGATGGTACATTCTCTTTCTGGAATGAGGGTTCAGAGTTACTAACTGAAAGATTATTAGCAGCACTGACATTTAAAACAGGATTAAAAATTTTTACCAATATTTTCTGTGGTGCTCCTTCAGGTCTCTTTGGCTGAATACGTTGGTAAGGACTACTTCTGACTAACTTAGGCTTAAGCGGTTCAATGTTATTTGGCATCATACACTTTAAAAACACAGCTTGTTTCCCATCAGGCATGAGGGTGTACAGAGATGCTTTGGGCAAGGTTTCATTCGGTTGCTTTCCTGTATCCAAGATATTCATCTTAGGGCCCTGCTGCTCAGGTAGAATGTTAGGAAAATGAACAGGTCTCACTGAAGAAGCCACTGATGTTTTAATAATGTAAGGACCGTTCAAAGGTGACGCATTTGCTGAGCAACTTTTCATGCTGACACAACTGCCACCACCGGAGCAAAGTGTAGGGGTAAGAAAGTTATTGTTTGCTTCTACTTTAAGAAAAGGTGTTTTGCAAGGTTCCGTAGTTACGGTTCCATAGCTGGGAACATTCTCAGTTTTGACAGTGTGAACACCTTCAGGTTTCCCTTTATTAAGTGTCAAAAGCACTCCAGGTTTCTTGTTCACAAGAAGAGAAGCAGGTGCACTCTGTTTATTAATCAAAGGGAGTGGTCTTCCAGAGAAAACGTGGAATCCAGGTTTGTTAGCAACCTGCAGTGGTATAAGAAAACCTTTTGGAGTTTGAACAAATACAGGATTTCTCTGTTCTGAGGTTAGAAATGGATTCTGAATATATACAGGACTCGAATTTTGTGCTGTGGTTCGGAGTTTGTCTTTTACAAGTTGTTGTGTTATTATTGCATCTGACTGAGTCTTAAGTAGTGTGACGATACTTGGAATTTTAGCGGCCACCTCTGAATTTCTCACATCTTGTAATACTGACACCACTTGTTTTTCTTGTCCATTACATTTTAAATTCAAATCATTTGTAGGCACACTAACACCTACACTGGGAGATGGAACTGGGAAGATGTCTTGTACCTGGAAGTCTTTAGAAGATTCTACTACCATTTCTTCTTCCCGAGCCTTTTTAAATGTTTGGTCACAATTGAGTAGAAGGTTTTTACTGGTAATGTTATCAGAATTTTCCTTTATATCAGATTTTGGTTTCAGTACATCTTGAAGTAACTGGTTTACTTCTGGTGGTAAAAATTCTGAAGCCTGCTGGCTTTGGAGAGAGAAAACAGATGTGATTCTAGGCATCATAGGGGAGCCAGCACTGGGAATGTCATTCCATTTAGTTTCTTCAGTAACATTCAATAAATTTTGGTTTTCATCAGTGAAGAGGCTTTGCTTATCAAAGTTATGTCTTTCTTCTAAATTATATGGTTCTTCAATTTCAGTTTTTGTTTTGAAAGTTCCATCTTTATCATTCAATGGGCTGACAGATGCTAATGGGCTACCTGAGTTGGAGTTCTCCTTTTTCATTAGTGGTGAAAGTGAATCGCTATCACTAGCTGAGTCCTGAGTTGTTTCACTGGAAGAGTCCCTCGGAAGGTTTTCAAACCCTCCTGTTCTTGAAAACCTATGATGCTTGTAATTCACCTTTGAGTAATTATGAAAAGGTAATGAACCTTGGTTGGAGAACTCAAAATAGCTGGAGGATTCGTCAGGTAACTCAGAGCTAACATAATTGATGCAATAATTATGCATATCTCCACAACTGTATGCATTTGGCTTAGTGGTAAGGTTGACTTTATCTGGACTTTTAATGGTGGTGGTATCTAATGCATCTGGATGACTCTGAGTGGTATGATTTTCCCACGAGTCAACATTATCTCTTGCTTCAACTTTTGTAGTCAAACTCACTGATGCAGCAACTGACTCTGATGTTGTTGGCAAAGATAAACTTTTACTGTTATCTACTGTCTGAAGCATATTATTCTTTTCAGATGTGAAAGCCATTTCTTTTTCAGAAGTTTCTTTCCTGGAAAGCACAGGAGACGAAGATGAGAGTGGAGCTGCTTTGACAAAATCTGTGTCATTCACCTCAGTTGTTACTCCAGTTGCAAATCCAGCGCTGTTCAAAGCTTGGGGTGGCAAATTAGCAGTACTATCCTTTTCTGTGTCTGGTTGTAAGGCTGGTGCAGGTAAATTCGGTTTATTAATAGGCAACAATTTTATTACAATATGCTGTCTCCCATCGACCACCTTAAAGCCCATAAACTTAGCACTGTAGTTAGCAGGAATTGTTATCTTATTATTTCTCACCAGTAACACTGTAGGCCCTTGTACACCACTCTTCAAAGAACTTGAATTAGCATTTGCTCCCTCATCAGCTTTATTATATTGACCAGGGGACAGCAAAGTTGACTTTTCTGATTCTGTGGGCTTATCATCGTTCTCACAGTGCAGTCTTTCACCCTTTTCTTCATTTAATTGCTCTTGACTCTGGTCTTCAGATTTAGTCTGTGTTTTGTTCACTATATTAAACGTGTGAGCAGTTTTTCCCATACTTTCATCATTCCCATTGGTAACTGTCTTACGTTTCCAAAACGTCTTTGTTGGACCTATTTTGTATCTCTTAAGTATTAGTTTAAGTCCTGTTGTGGTTGTTGCCACTCTTGTATCATATTGGTCTTTTTCCAGTTTTTCTTTTGCATATAAGTGTTCTTTATGCAAAGTTATAACATGTCTGACAAGTTGGTCTTTATGAATGGCACCGTAGCTACAGTAGTGACAAGTGAAGGGAAGAGTACCAGAGTGGACACAAAGGTGCTTCTGAAGCTCTCCCTTGGTAAAACAGAGGTGACGGCATTTTCCACATTTATAATGCATTTCTTTATGTCTATGAATGTGCTGAACAAATGTGCCAACATCCTGGGTAAAGAATCTACACTCTTCACACTGAAAATTACCATTAACACAATGTTTAGACGTGAAGTGTTTTGTCAACTCCAATAAAGTATATGAACGCTCACTGTTACAAATATCACATTTTACAAAAGTGCTCCTATGGGTTTTTCGGTGTTGTTTAAATATCTGGAAGTCATTTGCTGAAAAACTACACATTTCACAAGGAAACGAAGGCAACTCACCATGATGCCGCATTTCAAAGTGTTTCTGCAAATCGTTTGGACTATACTGAGTACTGTCTTGGCATTTTAAACAACTGAAGTTGAGTATTTTTGCAGACATGTTTACACTCTCTTCTTCAGTTCGCTCAGATTTACAAGGCAGTACACACTCCTCAGCACAACTTACAGTCTTTACACTGAAAGATTTCCTTGCAGTCTGTGGTTTGCTCTGAAATAATATTCTGTATTTTTCAACTTCATGTTTCATTAAGACTTCATTTGGAATATTTATCTTGGGCAAACTGATGTTCACATTTTTTAGCTCGTAATGAAAACGAGTTTCTGCAAGTTTTGGTGTAGGTACTGATCCAATAGTATCTGCTGTCTTATTTCCTGTATCACAATCACATTTTGTCAAAGTAGTTTGTTTTTCATCACAAAATAGCTGTGTCTGTTCAAATGGCATGATTTAATTTTTAAAAAAATCCAGTTTCTTTTGTTCTGAAAATTTATGAAGTTATTTGTGACTTAAACACAAAACAATACTGAGCTGCAACATCTTCAAAATAACCAGGATTTTCCTTGAATCAATTCACCTAAAATTAAACAAAGAATTGAAACTTTCATCACAAAATTCAAAGTAAATTTCTTATTTCTAAATTCATTCTGACTCAACAAAGCAAAAATGCTAATCAAACACATATACTAAAGACACAAAGACCTGATCAGTTAAGAACACCTAGGTTTAGAGGAAGCATCATCTAGCAATAGAAACAGTATTATTAGCTTCTGCTGTTTCTCCTTCCCTTAGCTTCATGGTCAGGCTCCAGGTGATGCCAAGATGACTATTCAAGTTCAGTTAGCAGCCTTCAAGGTACAAACTTAATTAAAAAACCTATCACTCCTCCAAAAACAGGACAGTCTTGGCCCAAGTTTTCTTAACTGCCATTTCCTACAATAAGACAAATTTCTATGAATGACCATACCTGATTTACAGGAGACTCATGAGAGTCAGAGGCATAAAACACCATCAAGCATGAACTGGCATTAGGGACTATAGGATGTTTTCCTAGAAGAAAATCAGCATTATTACTAGATGGTAGGAACAGATAAGATAAATGCAAAAAAGCAACATACACACATGAAGTTTGCTGTTTGTCTTGCATAAATAGAATATTACTTAAAAGACTTTAACATCTTAACTTTCTTTACTTTTGTATATACTTCTTTCGAAGATATATTGAATGTTGTATATGAGTATGCTTCTACCTATATCTGTATTAATATATATACATATATTTACATTCCTACCTCTGATTAAGATATTTATATACATTGTTTACATTTGGAGGTCATTGTCCTCACTCATTGCACAGTTGTTCATTCTCTTAGTCTTCAAGTTAGATAGATAAAAATCAAGTCATATATGTTTATTATATTTATATTTAGGCTAATCAGGTTATTTAGATGCATAGAGATCATACTTAGTATAGATAGTATAATCTTCAACCTCTTCGAAGAGTTATGGAAAATGGCCTTTAATCTAACTCATAGTTCTATAGTTGTAAGACACAATCACTCCTGGCATCACCGCTCTACTCCCGAGAGAACGCTGAGCACCAAAGACACTCCACATGGAGCTTGTCTTCTTCCTGGCAGAAATGGCCTTTGGGCAAAGAAAAAGCCCATACTTCAACCACTGACAGAATTATTGTCTTATCTTGCCAAGACAGGGTGAGAGAGTCCTAAAAGGTTTCTTGCCTTTGAAAAATGGCATGTCAGTTACATCAGGCCTTAGCCAAAGTTGGTTGACTCAACATTGCATACAAGACTTTGGGTGATTGCCCAGGTATTCAGTTGTCTCTTCCATTCGTTGTACATTTCAAAAGTTTTCCGCTTGTATTTCCGGGCTGCTTGAGTAAAATTATTTTCCTTCTCAGATCTTTGATGGAGTTGAAGATTAGATAGTTGTAGTTACCATCTACATTATTTAGCAGAACTTTTGTTATATGTTTCTTGCTTAACATTGTTTGTTGCTTGTAACTTTATATTTATTATTTGCTTCTATTGTATATAGTTGTATTTGGTTTAGTTCTGTCTTATTTTAGAAAAAAGGGGGAGATGATAGGGGAGTTCAGCCAATCACATTCTGTTTTGGGGGTGTGCCGCCCTCAGGCAAAAGCCTGCCTATAAACCTAGCAAGCGCGCTCTGCTAGCTCTCTTTTTTCGCCTGGCTCCTGCGTCCTGCCGGATCGTTTGGATTCTGGTGTAAGCTGTTGTAAGTCTTACTTCTGTTTATTAAAGCTGTATATTTTATATCAAGATAGTCTGGGGACCTTTCATTACCAATCGCCCTGTGGCTACACCAATGCAAACAGATCTAGTTCCCCCTTCCAATGACTTCAGAACATCCCAGAGTAGATATGCTGTGGACTACTTCTTACTGCTGGTGGAACTTAATTCCTACTCTTGCTATTTCAAAGGCTGCTATAGGCTCTGCCCAAAGAACAAGATTTAGAAGGACACATTAAGCTGAGCTACTCATGACTAGATGACTTTGTTCTTGTGTTTTCTTTCTTGTAATGCACATATTAAAAAAATTTCTTAAAGCTAAAAACAAACAGAAAACAAAGACAGCTATAGGAACTATCATTCCATGTCACATTTATGCATATAATATTTCTGAAAGATATCTAGATATATATTTGCTTCCACCCAATGTGCAATTCTGCAGTTCTAAAATTTTCTTATTCTTATATCCAAGAAAGTTAAAAACCTACAGTAGATATATTACAAAAGAATTATATTTAATTTTTCTAATATATAACTTGTATTTATTTTTGTGCTCCTCTCTGAACAGAAAGACAAAGTGTTCTATGAGTAACATAAGAGGTAATGTGTATTTATCGTTTCCTCATATATTAAAAGGGATTTAAATTGAAATGGCTATTGGTTGAAAACTACAATATACTAAAAAACATAAAGAAGTAAAAACTATAGATGCAAACTCCCTATCAACTATTTTATTATATTAATAAATTTCAAAGCAAAATTTTCAATGATGGTTATCAACAAGGATAATTGTCATCAAAGTAATTTGATCTGATAAACCCATTAAGAGAGTAAACTAAGTTACTGACTCTAAAATATTTGAAATAGTGAACCTAGAATGGGATCTTTAAACTTTAGTATTACTACTACTATTATTACTACTACTACTACTAATGGTGATGGTGGGGTGTGTAACAGTAAATGTCATATAAAGGGTATGGGGGACCTAAAAGAAGAAAACTACTGAAAGTAACTAGAACTGTTAGAAAGTCAGGATATAAGGATGTCTAAATGAATGTTCCTTCATCCAGATGGAACTTAAAGATGATTTAGTAATGACTAGCTAGGGAAATGCTTAATTTACAAATAAGAAATACCCTTAGCTTTTACCTAAATTTGATAACTTTCAATTAATGCAGAATGTCAATACACTCTTGGAAGAGCTCAAATATTTCAGGTAGTTGAGGGCTTGTATCTCAAATTTCAACCTTACCTGGAGAATCTATCTGATCTTAAAGCATGTTTACCCTGTAAGTGTATAAGTAAAGTCACTGAAGAACAACTTATTCTAGAGTTGCCCCTTTTGGCTGAAAGATGAATGGATGGATGGATGGATGGATGGAAGGAAGGAAGGAAGGAAGGAAGGAAAGAAGGAAGGAAGGAAGGAAACAAACTATGTTATAAATACCTCAGGTAATACAAGACAGGAATTTTATCATAATTTTCACTCCTATCTATTAAGCTAGTTTTTAATTACAGTCCAATTTTCATCTCCACCAATAAAGATTACTGGTTATTTAAACTGGTTTTTATTAACTTATAAGTTTGCCATCATCCTAAATCACTGAAATAAGACACCTTTGTAAAAGTATTAAAATAATCTGCAATTTCCTACACCATGATGACTAACAAAAACTATAGGCTTTGACCACTGAAATAACAAAAAGACTTAGTGGAGAAAAAGTTTTTTTGTCCAAAGTGAACTCAAATTCTGGGGCTCAAGCCACTTTCGCACCTCAGCGAGTGGGCAGTGGGAGTACCAAGACATGCAGCACATTCAGATGCAAGCCACCATTTCAAAGAGGAAGAAGCCCATTAGGAGACACTCATTCAATCAATATTTAATAAATATCAGTAAGAAAGTGACAAAATTTTGCCTCCTTTATTCACTAAACATACCTTGAGAGAGATGGAGACTTGAATGGAAGATCAAATTGGAGCTCTCTAGGTGACAGAAGGTTCAGGAAAGAGAGGAATCCAGAGTTTCCAGCTGAGTTCAGAAGCTAGAAATAGGGAATTGCTACTATCAACTGTTAGGAGAGATGTAAAAGGAAAATTATTACTGAATGCAAATGAACCTTCCTATACTAACAGATATCTTCTCTGCCTAGTACTATCTTTTCTTAAATTATGCTTAGGTCACCTTCCAATTAAAAAAGGGAGAAAATCTTGTTTTACCGCATCTCAATTATTGATATCACTAGAAAAATTAAGCAGGAGCTTGACATTGCGTTGCATGCCTTTAATCCCAGCACTGGGAGACAGAAGGATCTCTGTGAATTTGAGGCCAGTCTGGGCATATAGTGAGTTCCAGGCTGGTCAGGGACACACAGTAGGATCAAAGAAAAAAATGAAAAACAAACTAAAAAGATAAGCACAAATAACTGGATAAAGTGATGGGAGGAAGGAAGGGAGGGAGGAAGGGAGAAGGAAGGAAGGAAGGAAACAATTTTAAGTATTCAGAAAAACTTCTTTTTCTCTTTCTCTTACCCAGAATGACTACAATAAGTTATTGCCATTGATTAAAAAAAAAGAAAGAGACAAAGAAAATTTCTTTTAAAAATCAAGTAATACACAGCTTCTCCATATCCCCTGACCTCACTCAGGGGCAGGGAGATGCCTAAAACCAGAAGTACCTAAATACCGTATATACAGTTATCTTCTTACATATATCTATGATAAATTTAACCTATAATACAGACACAATAAAAGATGAAAAATAATAAAATAGGATAATATGTATAATAAAAAAGTATGAAACTGTACTATATTCACCATCCTTCTGGTATGAAGTCTGATGATACAATGTTCTCAAAGCAAGGTAAATAAGAGATATTGTAGAATAGCATTGAGCTACTATACTGGAAAATATGATGTCATGAACATCAAGTTGACAACTAAGATACCTCCCAAGTGACTAGAAGGCAGGTACCATATACAGCATGGGCAGGCTAGACAAATAATTCATGCCAGAATGTACAGAAATAGACTACAGCACACCACTCAGAGTAGTATGCAATTAAAACATAAACTCATTATTTCTGTGACTTTTCTTTCTTTCTTTTTCTTTTTCTTTTCTTTTCTTTCTTTCTTTCTTTTTTTCTTTCTTTCTTTTTTTTTTGGTTTTTCAAGACAGGGTTTCTCCGTGTAGCCCTGGTTATCCTGGAACTCACTTTGTAGACCAGGCTGGCCTTGAACTCAGTGATCCACCTTCCTCTGCCTTCTGAGTGCTGGGATTAAAGGTGTGAGCCACAGCCACCACCACCTAGTCACCATTTTCAGACTATCACTATCAGTTAAAAATGAGAAAATTCTACAGTTGGCAATCACAATGAGATTCGAGATTATATATATATATATATATATATATATATATATATATATATATGAAAACAGCTAATGTTTTATAAGAAAGAAAAAATGATTTTGAAGTCAGATGAAAAAAATTATAGTAATTTTAAAAAAAAGATTTGAATTTTTAAAATCAAAGTTTCTCCAAATTCTAGGCATATTATTAGTAGGAAGAGAATATAAAGCTCAACACCTATGACTTATCTAGTAAAAGATTTTAGTTTAAAAAACAAAATAAAATTATAACCAAATATAGTAAAAAGTTATCTTAAATAGAACTAAAGTTTTCATTAACTTCATCAACTAGTAGCTATACCCAACACCAGCTATAACTGCTAGGAGGTATGGATATGGAGTAGGCATTTATGGAGTTTTCAGGGGAGAAGAAACCCAAGAGTTCATTCTACATTTACTCTCAAGTGAGAAGAAATGCTAAGATCCAGAGACTATATAATAAACTCTACAACACAGAAGTAAATATAAACAGCATTACTAGTATAATTAGAGATTGGAGAAAAGGAACATATACAACAAATACATAAGAAGTTCTTATGGAAAAATTAACAGTGAGTTCCCACTGCAGAGATTATAAAAAGAAAATGTTAGATGCTGGAAAGCAAATAGGCAGCAATGACTAAGAGCACTTATAATCTCTGGCCAACAGTTGGTAAAGCTAAGAACTGATCACTTTACACTCTGAATTTTCAGAAAACCTAGGAATTGCAGCACCAAGCATGTAGGAAAGCTAAAATAAAGTGAAATTTAGAGGAAAAAAAAAACTGCAATTTTAAAAAAAATATAAAAACAAGCACATCCACCATATTAGTATGCAAATTTGTTTTAGCCTTTGCTAAGCTATAAAATTATATGTGTGCCAGATAATTGTTTTAAAACAAGTTATTATGATTCATTATCAGTAAATAATTTGTCTACTCATTTTATAAGCCTATTTACCCAGTTACATAAAAATTTTTGGGGGCAAAAGGGCTATGAGTAGAAAAATCTTAAGAAGCCTGTACTAGATAGAATACTAATTTTTGTTTATTTGATTGTTTTGAAGTAGAGTCTTTCTACACAACCCTGACTGTCCTAGAACTCCCTGCACAGACCAGGCTGACCTCGAATTAATAGAGATCCACATGCTTCTGCCTCCCCAATTCTGAAATTAAAGATGTGCACCATCACAACCAGCAGAATACTGTTTTGTTTTTTTAAGGAGTAGGAAGGAAAGGACAATGATGTAACTCAAACCCAGGGACTTATACATGCTAGGTAAGTGCTCTAGTTAAGTATGTGTGGGCTATAAACACACCTCAATGTACTCTTTAAGAAAGTGCTGGATTTGATCTGATAAAGTTTTATTTAGAATTTCTAATGCAATCTTTAACAGTGTAGACTTTGATATTACAGAGAAATTGAATAATGACCTATAATACTGTCTACCATGTTCTGTACTAGCTAACTAACCATAATGTTTTCCTTAAACTGATATATTCTGTGCCCTCTTCTGGCCCCATGGGCACTGAATGTATATGGTGCACATACACACACACAAGTAAATCACTCATACACATAAAAATAAATATTTTTAAAAGAATATACCTTATGAAATGAGTATGCATCAATATCATGCAAACATAGGTTAATAAGACTATGATAGCCAGGTAGTGGTGGCACACATCTTTAATCCCAGCACTTGGGAGGCAGCGGCAGGTGGATGTCTGAGTTTGAGACCAGCCTCATCTAAAGAACGAGTTCAAGGACAGCTAGGGCTACACAGAGAAAGCTTGTCTTGAAAAACCAAGAAGAAAAAAAAGAATATGAAGTAAATTATAAAATATCCACAAGAAAACATTATACAGAAAGATGTATGATTGAATTGGGAAAGACAGTTTGTATAACATTTTTAATTTAAAAAAAAGAAAGTTGTACATTAAAGCATCTAATGTATTTTCAAGTTAGGAGGAAAGGTCATCATTTGTATGATAGGAAAAGAACCTGAAAGGCAAATAAATAAATCTGTAGAAAAACACTCTCCAAACCACTGAACGACAGCATGTTCTGTACAATAAAACTATGTTGCCCGATCAACAGACTCTTCAGCCCTCCTTAGTATGTGGATGACAACAAAGAACAACCTGACTACCAGAAGCCTTTAGGGACACCTGCGTGTGCAGTCCTGTCCTTGATTAAATTCTGGAAATCCTCACTCTTTAAAGTATTAAAGTAAGTCCCTTTTTTTTTTTTTTTTGCTTTATAGCTCATACTGCTTCCATTAAATATAGTCAAAAGTTCATACTTAGGGACACATAGTAGACGAACCAATGCTAACTGTACTTGTTTCACAAAAAAAGTATGCTTTGTGAAAACCTTTGAAGGACAATAGGGCGTGAATGTACAAGAAAGATTGAAAGGGCAATCTAGGTCAAAAAACAAGAAACGTGAGAAGCAATTTTTTTTCTCCAAAGGTGCTGCTCAAAGAGAATGCCTTATAGAAGGCTAAGCAATAACTAGACTATAAATGACACTGTAAATTTATGTGAAAGGTGGTCGATAAGGAGAAAACATAAGAGCAGCACTTCCAAAAGAGTAATAAGAAAGCACTAGAAAACAAGATTAAACTGAAGAGGCGTAAAAATAGAGGGAAAAAAAATCAGAAGATCAAAGGGACAAAATAAGATTGGTTTATAGTGGTTCACACCTTGTAATTCCTGCACTCAGGAGGCAGAGGCAAGAGGATTAAGATTTTATGGCTAGCCATTACACAGCAAGACCCTATCTAAAAAAAAAGTAATTATTTTTTTTTAAAAAGAACCAGAAAAGAAACAATGTTGACACAGGTTAGAAATCAAACAGTGAGTAAAAGACTGAGAAATTTCACAGCAAAATGCCCATGATAAGGAGATCCCAACAGAGTGAGTCACAAATGTCCAGTCCTAGAATTAGTCTTGCTTCCTTCGCAGATCAAAGAGCAAAGAGACTCTGTAGAGCCCAAGAAGGAAAAATTGTGGTTTATTCACTAGGTTCCAGTTAATAACAAAAAACGAATAAAAATAACCCAATAGTTTTAATCTTAGTGCTTGTGACTCAGCCTACAGCTCTGTAACACCACAGTACAGATTGGAAAGCTAATAATTGTCATGAGCTTTTTCTTTATAACTACTGCATTCCTTGACAATTACTCAATCCTTTTTCTGTAGTGATAACTTAGTGCAAACAGACATGAATCCAAGTAACCGGAGGGGGAGGGAATCAAAGCAGTATAAGGCAGAAAAAAATTACTGATTATTCTGCCCAAGAATCTAGAAAAACAAAAACAAAAGCAAAACAACAAAAACCTTGTCTATTTCTTTAAAAGCAGATCCTACAGTAATATCCTCAAAATACTGTCTTTTCATGATTTGGAAAAAAGCATCTGAAGCTTTTTCTTCTTTTTCTTTTTTTCTCATAGTCATTTAAAAATTTTAAAATGTCTACCTAAAGAACTCAAAACTATTATACTAAAGCAAGAGAAGGTTTTGTAATACAAACATACATACACACATATCACACACACATATATATAAAAAAACAACTCAAGCATGATCATTTCCAACCAATGTGACCTGATATGCAATTTAATGCAAAAATATAGTACTAACATATTATCTTCATATGCATAAAGGAGACATGATAAAAT